AATAGAGAAAAAAACTGTTAAAGGGTCAATCAATATGAATTGATCAAGTGTAATGGTAATGACTTTGGTACAAAATAGCCAATCCTTAAGAAACTCAAACTTGAAATTTAGGTCATCAATATTAAAATATATATACTAACAACCTACAAGCACAGCAAAACATAGAAAGATTAAAGTCTAATGGTAATATCTCTCGTAAAAATGGGTCAATCGACATGAAACTGTATGAAATCAATATCAACAGATATAAAGATCAAGTATGATGGAAAGACGGGCAGAAGGGATAAACTACATGTATACGCCCCGACCACGTAATTCCGGGGGCATAAAAAAATTTCAGATAATTTTAGCATATAAAAAATAAAACGTGCATTATCTTTGCCTTAATTTTTTTCGGCTTTAGTATTTAACCTTTCAAGAAACACGTTGTACTGGTGTAATTGCAAGTTTTTGACTTATCATCCCATTTCAAAGTTATAAAATCGGAGCAAGGCAAATGCCGAAGTACATTGTTGGAGCAGCTCACAAATCCGTAGCAAGTCCGGCAGGACTGATAATTCCCGTCTGTTTTGTTCTGACAATCGCTGACACACACTGTAAACAAATGAAAAAAAACGATTTGATAGTTTTTAAAACATAATTTTCTATTGAAAAGTAACTAGTAAACTCTAAGTTCTTGGAAAATGGATTACAAGCATAATTTCTAAGCTAAAGCAAAACAACCTTTTTAATGCAAGAGTACATGAAAGCGTATTACATGTACTTCATTCTGTAGATTGGGTACTGCAATGAAGAAGATGGGCGTACTTTGCGTGCGATCTGCAGGAATCATGTGTAGGAAACATTTATGGTTTAAATGTCCACGATTTGGTCGGCTGACCAGAAGTGGACAGACTTTATAAAGGTTTGCACATAGGAAAATGGTTACATTTACACTGAAATACTACGATGGCCGATATCAGCCTGTCTGAAATAAAATTACACGGCCTATAATTTTGTCTTTTGTACATGTACATTTCTTGAAATTTGTACATGTACAAAAATATAAAAAGTTACAATTTTGCTTAAAGACAAAATGTACATGTACAATTCTTTAAAATTGTACATGTACAGACAAAAAAATCTATAGCGGTATATAAAAGAACTTCTTGAGTTCAGATCACACCTTCTAAACAGAGAATACGAGGTAACTGAGACTGACCCAATTATTAATGAATCCTTGGCTTTAAACAGAGTCATAACGCTACATAAAACCAAGAAAACAAAGGAAATACCGAATGTTCCAATAACAAAGTATGACCCAAGAATCAAAGGTCTGAAATCCAAATTATCAAAATACTGGTCATTAGTTTTAAAAGATGAAACATGCAAATAAATCTTTCAAACAAAACTAATGATTGCATATGCTATACATAAAAGTATTGGTAATTTGCTGACAAAAGCTATTTTGCCATATAGAAATTACGGTTTGATCCCTGATGAAGGCGGAACCGTGATATATATTTTTAATACACCATTACGATATCAAACCGCCGAAACACATTGTTGTCACATAACAATTAATACAGTCAATATAAAAAAGGAAATAAAAAAATCGCAGCACTGTGTCGGGTCCTCTAAATTTTGAATGGCGTGTCTGATGGATGTTGCCTAAATGCACCTGCTACAGATTTTTTTGGTCTGTACATGTACAAATTTAAAGAAATGTACATGTACATTTTGTCTTTTCGCGAAATTATAACTTTTTATATTTTTGTACATGTAAGAAATGTACATGTACAAAAGACAAAATTATAGGCCGTGTAATTTTATTTTAGACAGGCTGATATCGGCCATCGTAGAAATACACATGTAGCTGGCATATTTGAAATATTTCAGTCCACCTGTCTTAATAGTCTTAATAGTTACGATAACACAGTAACACTTCACATAAATAATAAATACCTAACAAGATAATAAGGTATTATATATGAAATGAAGTTTCAATAGGTTTGAAAAATTGCTTTTGCTCCCCGTGCAACAGAACCAAAATTTATCTCTTTTAAAACTTTTATAAATCAGTTAATAAAATTCAACTGATAAACAACTTAATTATTTGTATAAAAAATACAAAAAAAGAGAAGAAAATGCTCCATGCGAGGATGGAACCAAAAACTTCTCGACACCTTTCTGCGCTGGACCGGTAACGCATACTACTGAGCTATCATCGCTATACAAACATTATGGAATTTAAAATGACAAAGAAGCAACGCATTTACACATTCGAATTTTTTTGGAAAAAAGTTTAGTTTTTATATTCTCTGGGTCTTCTCTCCATTTTTTACAAATGTTTGTTTGTTTTTTTTTTTTTAATGCAAATGCACAAATGTCTTTTTAAAATCGTGGAGAGATGACCCAGAGATAGCAAATGTTTAGAAAAACGTGTTTAAAAATGTAAAATTTTGTACTAGATGACTCATCCAGCAATGTTTTTAAAGTTATTTTTAAGGAAATCAAAACACGCCATAGGGAAAATATTTTCCTTTCCTATTTCACAGGAACATGATCCATCAAAAGAATATTAAATTTTAATTTGACAGTTAAATAAAGTTTTCATTTTTCAAGGGCGCCCAGATTCCTGCCGAATGTCAATCAAAAGCGCCCTCGTTCTTTTTATCGCATACATGTAAAGCAAAATCTGAGTTAAATTATACTCCGTTATTGCTTATTAGTGTAAAAAGACTACAGCCTTGGAATTATCAAACCTCGTAACTTCATGCATCAGCCTTAGGGTAAAACCTACTTTCTTTATGAATTTACCTTCAGATCCCATCGATGATATCTCTTTAACAGCATCCAGAATTTCCTTTATTTCTGTAAAACATTTCGTTTAATTCAAACTTTTTCCCCATATATTAAGTCCACGCCTACTTACTTAGCAATAAAGAAAATCAATTTATAGTAGATGTACCTTTATCTTGTTGGGTAAAGTATTCTTTCTTTGGCAGAGTCTCTGATAGTTCCGGAAGGTCGGTAGGGAGAAGTTTCATTCCTACTACATACGCAATAAAGATGGATATCAAAGCAAATCCAAGTATCATCAATACAGTACAGAAACGACATGTACATCGGCTTTTTTTCTTTTCCGGCTCTTCATTTTGTATATTATTCTAAAAAAGAAGATTTTTGTTTCTATTGAAATGCTACATTTCCAGAAGGAATAAACAATTTATAAATTAAATAAAGTGTTTTAAGGTGCTTTAAATTCAATGAAATACAAAAAAAATGTTTAATTTATTTATAACAAAACTGAATACCGTCTAGTGTAAATCCCCCAAGATTTTAATTTGGCCATGGTCAAAATGCTCACTTGAGCTCAATTGAGAATTGTTGGTCTTATTCAATATTTGTATGACCCTTCGGGGTATTGTGTCGAATAAAATGATATAGATTTATGATAAATTGACATTATTAATCGACTTCAATCTACACTATGCGGAAATGCTTCCACATTGTTTTGACAAATGTATCATTTTTTCAAGGAAGATTTTTTGCTTTTGCATTTTCCCCTTTTATTTTCCACACACACACACACACACACACAGAGAGAGAGAGAGAGAGAGAGAGAGAGAGAGAGAGAGAGCATTTTTAAAGTTACAATGATTTTAAATTAACATACAAATGTATATGCAAATATAGGACATATAGCAAAAGTATCTTGGAAACCTAAGACATGTACAGTATACAAGGGCAAAAGTAAGTCTTATAAACCAACTGAATACAATTTGAATAAAAAGAAATACGTAATTTAAAGACATGTAGTAAGCTTTTAATAAAACCGAGAGAACAAACATCAATTTATCATCCAGTGTATATGGCAAGCAAAAGTGGAGTAAACTGCAACAAGATGTTAGGCATGAGTACGCTAGAAAATACAAAGTATAGGCAAAACGACTATAATTACAAAGCAAAGAGACTTTGAGACTTGGAGACGCTTCTAAAATGGGTCTACAATGTATTCTCTTTAGAACTATCAGTTTTCACCTACCATGCTTTTCAGACAACTCACGTCACCACTAGCATTTGCAGCCACAGTCGCTACCCCAACCTTAAAGAATGAAGCCCAAAATCAACATCCCCGGCAACAGATTTAATAAGTGGTATTATGTTATTCTTGAAGCAGAATGACGATTTTTTTTTATTTTGATAAATCAATTTTTAATTGCTCTAAAAACTGGTCTGAATACGAATTTTTTTTTGACCGACATCAATAAGCTCTTGTACATGCTAACCGGACAGGCTTTGATATAAGTACCTCATATTTCTTCGTATCCACTGTGCAATGAGGAGATCGGTCCTTCGGATGAGACCATATAAATCGAGGTCCCGTGTCGCACTAGATAGTGGCAACAAAAAGATCCCTCATTACTCAGAGACAGTAAGAGCCGAGAACAGGTCTAGATTTACAGCCCTCCATCGGCAAGTGGCTGTGTCTCAATATGAGTAAAAAGTTCTCAAAGAGACATCAAACAACCAATAAAAAAATAAACGAATTAACACATCATTGAAACAGAGGTGGCTTAACTCATCGAATAGCAAAAAAACGACAAAACAAAACATAAGATCATCATAAAGTTTGTAACAATTAACAATTCTGTTGAACCCTTGAACATAACACATATTTCTATCAATACGTCTTTAGAAATCGGTTCTTTTCTCTTCACGGTTTTAGACACTTTTCTCCCCCGCTACCTCCGCTGTCTCCTGTGTTGATAAAGCAAAAGATTTTTTACTTGGATCCGTGAAAACCAACACAGAAATGCGCCAACTTGATCCGGTACACAGGCGAATTAATTAGGTGTTGCAATGCGCCATTTTCTAAAAGGTTATTCAAATGTAATCGTTTGGACTTTGCCGGAAGAGAGCTGTATCCTGTCACTTGGGGAAATTCTCCAATCTTTTGAAAAGGATGATATACATTTTGTTAGTGTGGTCACTTTTACTTGATAATATCAACATACTCATGTTGGGACAAAGTTCATCCCGATAACTGCTAGGTTTATCTTCACTGTCCAATACTACCTTTCGTACTCTTTCCTGTAATCCTATTCCTGCAAAATCAAAATTCAATTCTTAAAAATATCATTGTGAATGAAATGACCAAATATCACGTTTTTCCACTAATCTGCACATAACGTGAGCATTTTTAACGTACATACCATCTGAAATTGCCATCCTTACAGATCAACATTGGCAAGAAGGGTTCAGATGTCCACTCTGGTATTACCGAAGTATATTTAAACTTTTAAAACCTTTTTAAACATTTAAACCAAATTATTTCCTGAACTGGTTACCGCTGACTTTTCTGGGGTTTTTTTTATTATTATTATTATTTAAATGAATATCGCATCCAGTCAACTCATCTTTGATCTTATCAATTTTTTTTTTTTTTTTTTTTTTTTTTTTTTAATTACATTTTGTGTATTGACAAAGAAATTCTCATCAGCCTCAAGAAAACCCAATGCATTTAATCAGCTTGAATTTCTGCACTTACTATACTAATTTGTTGTAAAGTTTTAGCGCCAACAATGCTGTGATCCAAATGCACACCGACTTTGTGACCCTATGATCAGGGATGGGGTCAATTACATAGGAAAGTAATTAATTAAATTACAATTACTTGCCCAAAACCTTCAATTAAATTACCATTACCATTACAAGGATTTTGAAATGTAATTAATTAAATTACAATTACTTTGCAAATGTAATTAATTAAATTACAAATTACATTTTATAAATTTATAACAAATAATCATAAGCGTTCCTTTATCGTCATATCAGATTCAGTTACAACATTTTTTTTTCTACATTTACATATTTACATATTCTTTAGAATTCATGAAATTTTCTCAAATAAAGTGTCTCCAGATAACTATCTCAAATACAGTATCCCCCGTTATCCTACATTTATCAGACTTGAAAGGTTTTTCCTCAACAGTGAAGATACTTTCCACTATGGCATGTGTGACAGGAATAGATACAGTAGATATTGACTAGCAAGAATACCATGTTTATCCATGTTTTTTACCACAATTCAAATGTGTTACAAAATTTGATGTTATTTTTAAGCTTTCTGGTATGTATATATATTTAAAAGATGTTTCCTTTTTAACTTTATAAGCTATCTCAAAATATTGGTATTGAATTTTGAAAGTTCCTTTAAAAAATGCATGAGATAATACAGCAATTTATTTTAAGGAGGAAATATGAATATTCCTGTAAGATATTAACCATCAAAATATTTTTTCCCAAAAGATAAGTTAAGCTTTCTAATGTAGTGTATAGTGGGTTGGGGAAGGGGGGGGGTATTGATTTTTCATTCATTATACATCAGTGTAATTGAATGTAATTGAAAAGTAATTGTGAATTACGTGCATTTTCTCCAAAGTAATTAATTAAATTACAATTACTTGTAATTGAAAATTTGGCCAATTACACATTACTTTCAATTACATCAAAATTTGTAATTAATTACTGTCAATTACCATTACCCCATTCCTGCCTATTATCTCCAAAATTTGACTACTTCACGTAAAACTTGTGTGAAAACATATTCAGCAGTACTAATACCAAAATTGCAGAAGTTAAATACATAAAATTTGTTTTTCCAATTCAAACCCAAATAATCCTTACCTAACTTATTTATTATAATATGGTGAAAAATGTTATCACCCTCTTAAACAATTAATGCGATGTACCTGCGTCTTCCTACTTGTGTTTGTCTCTACAGAAATGTGGATTAACGTGATTTGCATCTAAAACCAACCCATTTTTTGGTTCAATACCTGCTACGGTCAAAGGATTAACTACTTCATATTTTTGGTAACTCTTTTTCTTTTTCATTCGATACAAAATCTACATTGATAAATGCAGATGTGTTATTTCTTAAGCTTATTAGGACTTAGAATTGCAAATAAAGGCAGTTTTTAATCAAATATGGAGATAAGGAACGCTAATCAAGCTCTTAAGACCATAGAAAAATACAAATCAGGAGCAGAGCAAAAACATCAGAGATGGGATCAGGTGCCATGAAGGAGTAAGCATCCCCTCCTGACAGGTCACACCCGCCATGTGCCCCCTCGATAACATTCAACACATACCTGCTCGCTTCAATCGAACGCCACTACATTTTTTTCTCAGTCTATCACCAGGTGATTTCCCTGTATTCGTCTCTGATGACTGCTTTGTGTCAAAACACTCAATGCAGAACTTGCTAGCATTTCGTTTATTTTCTCTGTACATCCTTTCCCCCAGTGACCCTTCTTATGATACCTGTAGCACTGGCCCCATCTCCACACACCGACCATTAAAATGGACGACCTATTTGCTTCTTCAGTTTTTATAGACGTGTAGGGCCTCCATACATGTATATCCCGTATATCCCTTCGCCGTTTGATACGCTTGTCCTTGGCTTCCTTTCCACCCTCGTTTGCGCTGATGATTTTTTTTCTCATCCTCCGAGTCTGAAGCTATAGGGTTTTTGACATATTCATCCACAGCTCACCGCTGCTGACGAACCTGCTAATTTAACAGGTTTTTAAGTCATAACCATTTGTTATCTTTTGTCTCAATCCTTGAATCCGGTTTTCTTCAAGCTCTTCGTTTGCTTATTTCAATTTTACTATTATTAAGGTCTATTCCGTCTTCAGCGGAAGACCTTCTTGTTATTCTTAGGTTTCTTTTCCACTATTTTTAAGGTCTTCCGTCTTCAGCGGAAGACCTTCTTGTTAAGGTCTTCCGTCTCCACGGAAGACCTTATAGTGATTCTATTGTTTCTTATTATTATTATTCTTTTTTTTTTAGACAAAATTTTGTGCACGCGATTTCTCGAAAACTATTCAGTGAATTTCTTTGAAATTTTCAGGGATAAAAGGTCTTTATATGAATTTTATATAAAATTCCGTTTTTTGGTAAATTCGGTTCCAGTGCCAAGTTATGGACAATTTCCTGATTCTGAAATGAAATTTTGTCTTCGAAGGATCTAAGGAACGGCTAAAGATATGAACTGGAGACTTGTTAGAGATGATAGGACACGACTTCTAGATTTGCAAAATTGCCTTTTCGTGCGTCGTCAGTACTTCCGGTCGCTTACGGAAGTGATCAAAGAAATCGTTAAATTTCAACTTTCCTTTTTTAAATCAATTCTTACATCATATTATTGCATCTCTTTTGTAGTTTTGAAATATGTTGGTCCCACCGGAAACAAAAACGTCAACTTCCGGTTATAAGAGAAAAACTACATAATTTGAGTATTTTTCTTTCTCATTAATATCGTTTGTAGATAAAGTTTTTGGAATGAATTTTAAATATATTATTCAGACTGCAAATGTCTAGAGTAATGTCAAATATCTTTGTAAAATTCTCTTCCGGTCGCGTGTTTTTCTGTCCTAAAAATGAGAAGTTGTCGGTGCAAGATCTCGGAAACGGTAAGAGATTAAGACACCAGACTTATTTGAGCAATAGACCTTTAGATGTAGTTAAAACCATTCGGCTTCAGAGCGCCAGCCGTCACTTCCGGTCGTCACAGGAAGTGATAAAAAAAATCGAAAATTTAAATTTTTCTTTTTTTAGTTAAAAATTGCATCACTTTATTGCTTCTTTTTCGCAGATTCGAAAGATGTTGGTCCCACCGGAAACAAAAACAACAATTTCCGGTTATAAGAGAAAAACTAAATAATTTGAGTATTTTACTTTCCAATAAAATTCTTTATAGATAAAGTATTTGAAATGAATTTAAAATATGTTATTCAGACTGCAAATGTCTAAAGTAACCTGAAATATCTTTCAAAAAAATCACTTCCGGTTGCGTGTTTTTCTCTCCTCAAAATGAGAAGTTGTCTGAGCGAGATCTCAAAAACAGGTAAAAGATTAAAACACCAAAATTTTATGAGTAACAGACCTTGAGGAGTAGGCAAAACTGTTTTGGTTAAACGCTTCAGTGGTCACTTCCGCTTGTCACAGGAAGTGATCAAAGAAATCAAAAATTTTAACTTTTCTTTTTTAAATTAAAGCTTCCATCACTTTATTGCATCTCTTTCGCTGTTTTGAAATATGTTAGATTCCACCGGAAACAAAAACGACAACTTCCTGTTTTAGGCGATAAACTACGTTATTTCGATATTTAACTTTTCATAAATATTACTTATCGATAAAGTACTTCAAATGTTTTTATGCATTTTGTAGATACTGCAAATGTCTAAAGAAACGTCAGAGTTTTTTTTTTTATAAAGTTCACTTCCGGTCCTTTGTTTACCTGTCCTCAAAATAAGAATTTGTTTTCACAATATCGCTCGGCAACAGTAAACCACTGAAGTCTAAAACTTTCAGGACTGATAGTCAGTCATCAGTGTATTTGAATCGCGAGAAAATCTTGTATCGCCGTTACTTCCGATCGTGACAGGAAGTAATGCAAAAAAGTGAATGGTTAATGGCTAGCGCTCTGGATTTTCACGCTGAAGACCAGGGTTAAATCTCCAGAGTGTCTGAATTTCTTTTATCACCTTTTAAGCTTGAATTAACGTTTTTATTTTCAAAATCGGACGGAAGACCTCTCATTGCTCGCAATGAGTTTCTAGTTATTCTTCGGTTTCTTTTCCACTGTTTTTCTTATTATTTTTTTTCTTACCGATTTTGTGCACGCAATTTCTCGAAAACGGTTCGCTCGATTTTCATGAAACTTTCAGGTCTGATAGAACATTAAAAAATCTTGATACATATTTTTTCATTTTGATGACGTCACTTCCGGTCCGAAGATTTTTGCGATTTAGTGATTTTTGGAGGGTCAGTTTGTCCGCAGGTTTTCTAAGAAACCACTCATCACAGGAACATGAAACTTTTAGGAAAGACAGAGCAATATATGTAGATCTGTAATACGTAGTTAACTTTCACCGGAAGTGCCACACGTTGACGCTCGCTATGGTCTGAAAAAAGTCGTATCGAAAGTTTCAAAATTCCGAACACTTTCTGTACGATATCTTTTTACTTGGAAATATTTTGTTAAAACATATATAACAAAATTTGTGCAGAATTACAAGATCTTTTAAAAGATATCTCGAAAAAAGGGCTGCCCCCTAGAAAAAGGAATCTAAAGGGGCCAAAATATTTTACCTGATATCTCAAAAAGTATTTAGAATTTGTAATACTTCAAAGAAGCAAAGTTGTTCAACATGACAAGTAGCAGCTTGCGAGATCATCAAAATATGTCGAATGACGTCACTTCCGGCTAAACAGGAAGTAGTAGAAAATAGCTTATTTTCACAGATATTGGTACAGTGCTGCTATCCCACAAGTTGACATGGGATGGAATTGAAAAGGATTCAGGATTGAGGATTCACGATAGAAACATATACTAATTAATCCAATCCAATCCTATCCTATCGTATCCTGTATCCTACAGCCTTCAGATTGGTGTAAAGGTTAATTCATATTTCAAAATAAATTACAGAAACGCAAAAGGACATAGAACGTTTACAAAAGAAATATTTATAAAATCACAAAAGAAAATAAACATTTTTTTTCTTAACACACATTTATTCTTTTACCTTCGAGTAATATGGCGTACGATCTAACCGTGAACGATCACCGGAAGAAGTTTCGGATGTAAACAAAGAAGAGATCGGACATCAAAAGATCGTATTTCTTCAGCATGTTTGATGATTAATTCGATTCCTACTTGTGTTACAGTTCAATAACATGTTTCTCTGTTAAATGTGCTCTGTTTGTCTGGATAATTCCACTTGAACCGTCAGCGGCGGACTCTAACAGATCATAATCGCAGTTGTTTGGTGCAAGACCATGTAAGTATACTACATACTGTTTATGTGTGCATGTTTATACATATCTCTCCCTTTAAGCAATGTTTTAATGACTTGAACTATTAAAATTTTATTCTATTGTAATATACACAGAAATCGGATGCGGAAAAAAGAGGTTGTGTAGAAAGGGGACTGGTAGGGGGGTTAAATATTTACAAATACTTTGTCACATGATCAGATGTATTACACCTTTTTCGGTTTGTTATTGCTATATAATCATTTCCCTACTGTTATTAAAAAAATTGTAGCATAATTATTTTTTTTATCTTTATTATTTTTTTATATTTACTTTTCTTATTCAGTAGATTAGTATGTTTTTATCATTTTACTTTTATTCTTAGACTAGATTGTTTATCAATGTCTTGACCCAGACTGCGAACTGGTCATGGGGAGCTGTTAATTAGGTTAGGAGGAGGTTTTATACAATGGTAGTGATTTATAGTGTTTAGATTTTATAGCTTGACCTTAGTTTACTTTAGGGGAGACATTAGGAGGAGTAAGAGGAGTCATAAACTATATAAGCAGGCTCATTTTATAATGAGGGGGGAGTAATTTGAAAGAGTAGTTTAATAATGGGAATTTAACTTGAGTTACATTGGAATAATTATTTTAAGTGCCTTTCATTCAATTCTTTTGGATTTATGCTTTGTGACATTGATTTGGATTATATTTTACTTTCATTTGGATTTAATAAACATTTTACCGTTATTTGGTGTTTTATTACAAAGAGGAATTATGATTGAGAGCTACCAAAATATGACTGTGAAATGGATTTACTCGGAAACGCTACAAAATATTTTTTTCTTATCTGATTGCAATTTAAAATAATTAAATGCAGAATCATCATGATCATTTCTTATGCTACTGTCAGAAGACTGGTCAGGTCTGGTACAATCACTAGATTTAGCTACGTAGCTTGAATTACCTACATAGCTGTATTTACCTACCTGAAGTAGCTTTATTTAGCTACTAAATCAAACTTATTTCTTAAAGAAAAATTTTACCCAGAAAGTGCAAAAAATTGCACTTTGATGCAGTGATAATTTTCAACTTTGAACTCATCTGAAAACAATTCATGAAAAAATCACTCTTGGAGATGTGTCTTTTTTGTGCAATTGCAAACAAAGTTCTAAAAGTTTTGGGGCTACATACAACAGTTAATTTGTGACCTAACAGTTACTTCTTGAGTGTAGAAACAAAGAAAACCAGTTTTGGGTAACATGAGCACAATGTGAAGTTATCATACTTATCCACACATCATCGCGCACAAGGTGTGTACAGTTACACAAACAATGGGAATACATATTTTCCTTAAAAGTGATCAAACGCAGCAATGTTAAAACTATCTCTGCTTTAGATTGCTTTCTAAATGATACCTAGAATAAATATTAGTAGATATTTTCTTGCGACTTTTTGTCTTTTTAAAAT